GTGGGGTAGCACAGCCTAGCAGCCAGAGTCCATTCAATGTGCCCCAGAGTCCACCTAATTCCCCTTCCCCTAGTGGGATAGCCCAGCCTAGCAGCCAGAGTCAATACAGCCACCTTTGGAGGCAGGGTAGGGTGGCCTAGTGGCCAGTGCTTGGAGGCCATCACAAGGGGGTGGTGGCCCTCAGTAGGGGGGCCTGGGCCCACCCAACTCCACTGGGCCCCAAGCCAGGGCCCTAACAGTGGCAGAGCAGTCCACCACAGGGTCAGCAGGGAATCCCACCAAAACATATTGCCCTCACAAGGGTGGGAGGTACAACTCCCTCACCAGGTCACTTCCTACCAGCTGTCCTGCAGCAGTAGTCGGTATCAGGGTCTCCAGGCTCCTCAGCCCCAGACACTCCCAGGGGCTCCGGTAGCATCAAGCCTCTGGTCCAGGTTTCAGCTCTCACAGGTGAAGGCTGTGACAGCTCCTGGGCTGGGCTGGGCTGGGCTGTGACAGCTCCTGGGCTGGGCTGTGACAGCTCCTGGGCTGGGCTGGGCTGGGCTGGGCTGGGCTGGGCTGGGCTGGGCTGGGCCCCCTCCCAAGTGTCCTTCCTCCCCCACAGTCAGCCCTGACTGAGCAGGCTTTTATACCTGACTTCCAGGTGGAGCATGCCCAGCAGAGCCTGGGGGCGGGGCTTCCTCTGCTAGGAGGGAAGGATTAACCCCCTCCTTACCAGTGCGGGGCCGATCCGCCCCCTCACAGTTACTAATTGTAATGATGGGTTCTTTTCAGGTCAGCTTTTACCTCCAATCAACAGCTTATTAATTTACCCAAGACACATATGTATGTATTCAACAGTTTATAGATCAAGTTGAGGGACACCAGACTTGTACTGCACACACCAATACACTCTTGCAAGCAGTTGTCATAGATTTGGGTCGAGGCTCAGCTGTTAGACCAGACAACAATGCAAATCACTATGGTATTTTTATTACATTTACTTATGATCCTCAGTTCGTTAGGACCTCTAACACTTCTCACGCTTCCAGTCCTTCTCCCAGGAGTAAGGAAGTATTTGTGTTAAGAGCGTGTTCCCTGCTATTTGAATGGCTTGGTCTGAAAGGGACAGGTTTAAACTATCAAAAGCAATTAAGTTAATGCTTAAAATCACTCTTAGGCCAATTTGCTTGGGCTTACAAAGGAGAGCATGCGAACAGCACCAGTTAGCTAAGATCTAATACGAGGTGTCACTGAGAAGCGTAGAGCCAGCCAAAGACCCTATTCAGTGGTTTGAGCATTGGCCTGCTAAACCCAGGGTTGTGAGTTCAATCCTTGAGGGGGCCATTTAGGGATCTGGAGCAAAAATCTGTCTGGGGATTGGTCCTGCTTTGAGCAGGGGGTTGGACTAGATACCTCCTGAGGTCCCTTCCAACCCTGAGATTCTATGATTCTAAGTGTGTAACAGGGGAAGGCTGGTCACCATCCTGGCCTGAGTGTGCAGGGCTCATCACTTCTGGAATTGTGCAGCTCGTTCGTGGGTTCTGTCAACTCTGAGGTCCACACGGTGGCGGCCCTAGGTTTATAGACCCTGTTTCTGGATGTGCTGGAAGAGGCCAAACCTCTGATTTCTATTGGGTATTGGCCAGCGCCGGTATATTCAGATTTCAGCTCCCTGAGTTTCTCTGCTGCTTCCGTCGGTATCCAGTAGATGGCATCGGTGTAAGACAAACTTCTTTTTCCTCATAGGGTTTAATTGATTCATTTCACGGACAGTATGTCAGTATTAGCCCTGGCTGTTAATGGGAATCTCCCCGTTTTAAGCAATTTCTCTCAATATTCCAAAGTTATACTCCGACTAGGTGCTTAGGTCTTTCAATCCTCGATGGCCCAGGAAAATCTTGGTGGATTTTGTTTAGCCTTTTTAAATGTTTGTATTTTTGTTCAGAAGATTCGGGTAAATGATCCCTTCTTGGAGTTATTTGCCGGCCCTTACAACACACAGGCCCCTTGTCCCTGCTGGATTTGAACGCACCGGCAATCTAAATCAGCGCAGACTTATCACGGCCCTGGTCAGTGACCCCCCTAGAAGAATTTCTTCCTTCTTCAAGTGTCTTTGATCAGGGCAGGGCGGGGTCACTCACAGGGTTGCCTGGTTCCACTGAGAGTGCACAGAGGGCTGAGAGGAGCAATACATTACTGATTGGGCAGTGCTCAGTTACTGTGGGAATGGGAGCCAGATAAAGACGACAGACAGTCAGGCCGGGGCCCAGCCCAGCCATAAAGATGAACTGGCTTCTCTTTTATCTTCACTTTTCCCCTCTGACACCAGCCCAGAAAGCAATGGGCCCATAGAGCCGAAGGCTCCTTGCCGCCCCTGGTTATTGGTGATGTCACAGAACAGTGCATCCTGGGACAGCTGCAGTGTGAACCAGAGAGTCCCCAGGGGACTTCGGAGGAGAACAAAGGAATGATATTAAAAAAATGAGTCAAGCTTTAAAACGGTCCCCACGCTAGCCTGGCACAGAAACTGCACTCTCCTCTTTCTTTGGTGCTTATCTGGACCCCATTAGAGTATTATCTGAGCACCTCACAGCCCTTCTGTGGGGGAGGGCAGTGCTGTTATCCCCATTGTATGGATGCAGAACAGAAGCACAGAGAGGCTAAGTGACTTGCCCAGGGTCACAGAGGAAGTCAGTAGCAGAGCAGAGGTTTGACTGAGAACCTGAAGAGGCCCAGGCCAACACCGGCTTCTCCTTCCTTCCTGACTAATTTCATTCCTATTTTACAGATGGGGAAGCTGAGGCACAGAGCCCTGCCATAGGTCACTGAGCACCAGCGGAGTCAAGGCTAAAAGCCAGGTTTGCTGAGCACAGGCTGGCCCATGCCGCCTCCTCTGCTTTGCACTGTGTATTTAACAAGCAGATTGTGCACCCTGCTTCCCTGGCTCTGCGGCGCCAAGTGTCTGCAGCAATTAACCACACGCCCCGAAAAAGCCGGCTCAGCAGCAAGACGGTCAGTCATTAATTCTGGTTCCCAGAAGCTCTTTAATGAGAAAACCTTGAGCAGCAAATCCAGACAAGACCGTCTGGAAGCACGAGTTCAGCATTGCGCGGAACAAGCAGGCAGCGGGCCCCTGAGTGCAAACACTCCCTGAGGCTGGATTTCAAAGCCCGGTCCCCGCACAGCGCCTGCAGGCGGTGAAAGCTGACTGAAGAGTTCGTTAACGCTTAGAAAGGCTGGGTCCAAGCAGCACAAAAATCTGACCTGCCCTCCAGTTTCACTTTGCTTCACTGTGGGTCAGATTCACACAGGCCTTTAAAAGTCCGGTCGGCAGTGCAGCAGGGCTAAGGCAGGCTCCCTACCTGCCCGTCTCTGCGCGGCTCCCGGGAAGCTGCCAGCATCTCCCTCTTGCTCCAAGGTGTAGTGGCAGCCATGCTGCCCCTGCCCAGACCGCCAGCTCTGCAGCTCCCATTGGCCATGGTTCCTGGCCAATGGGAGCTGCAAGAGTGGCGCCTGCAGACAGGGGCAGCACGTGGAGCCATCTGGCAGGACCTCTGCCTAGGAGCCGGAGAGAGATGCCGGCAGCTTCCCGGGAGCTGCCTGAGGTAAGCACCGCCCGGAGCCTGCACCCCGAACCCCCTCCTGAGCCCCAACACCCTTTCTCAGCTCAGAACCCCCCCACACCCAAACTCCCTCCCAGAGCCCGCACCCCCTCCTGCACCCCAACCCCCTGCCCCAGGTCTGAGCCCCCTCCCACACTCTCAACCCCTCCGCCTCAGCCCAGAGCCTTCTCCTGCACCCAAACCCCTCATCCCCAGCCCTGCCCCAGAGCCCGAATCCCCAGCCGGAGTCCTCATCTCCTCCTGCACCCCAACCCCATACCCCAGCCAGAGCCCCCTTCCTCATCCTGAACTCCGGAGCCTGCACTCTCCACCCCAGAGCCTATACCCCCTCCCACACACCCCAACCCCCTGCCCCAGCCTGGAGCCCCCTCCCACACTCTGAACCCTTCGACCCCAACCCCCAGCCCGGAGGCCTCTCCTCCACCCCAAACCCCTCATCTCCAGCCCCTCCCCAGAGCCCACCCGCCTAACCAGAGCCCTCACCCCCTCTCACACCCCAACTCCCTGTCCCTGTCCAAGCCCGGTGAAAATGAGCGGGTGAGCGAGGGTGGGGGAGAGCAAGCGACGGAGGGAGGGGGGATGGAGTGAGTGTGGGCGGGGCCTCAGGAAAGGGGCGGGGCAAGAGTGTTTGATTTTCTGGGAATAGAAATTTGGCAGCCCTACGCATGGGCAGAGCTAGGCGCCCAAGGAAGGGCTTTTCAGAAGTCCACAAGCTGAGCAGACCAGGAGTGAAATGCAGAGGAAAGGGGAGGGGTTTAGGGCCCAGATTCACAGCTCCGATTGATCTTGGCCTTCCACCCCGCAGGGACGGCTGGCACTAGGTGCCTCTCTCCAGCTGGGACCCTCAGCCATGAACCCTCGCCTGGAGATGGGGACCTGAGCCAGCTCAGCCATTTCTCAGATAAAACCAGAGTGAGAGCACGAGTCCCTAGTCCCCATCGCCTAGAGGTCAGGGCATTCAGCTGGGATGTGGAAGACGTGGGGTCAAATCCCTGTGCAGCCTGATTCAGAGCAGGACTTGAACCCAGATCTCCCACGTCCCCGCGGAAGGCCCTGTGCACCAGGCTGTTTGGGAGGGTGTCTCTCAGTCACTCCTATCACAGCTGTTCCACTTCTATACATAACTCCATGGTCACTGGGCCAGAGAGAGACTCCGATCCTGGAGACGCCCCCCCGCCCTGTGCCCCAGAACAGCCGGGCGGAGGATCAGGGATTGCTACACATTTGGCCAAGTCTAGCGCAATAGAGTCGCTGCTGCTCCTGTTTCCTGAGGGGGAGGGAAATGGAGGCTTTTGCAGTTGGCGATGGAGCATTCTCGTTCATTAGCCGGCCCACGTGGGAAACTCCAGTGGGGGGGGAGGGGGATTGACAGCCCCAGTGGAAGCTCCTCTCCTCTCAGGGCCGTCTCTGCTCCCTCGCGGCGAGGACGTGCACCGTGAGGATCCCGGCCAGCAGGGTTCCCAGCACCCCCAGCACAAGGATCCCCTTGGCGCGGCAGTAGGACAGCGCTGGGGTCTGGGGCAGGGCAGGACCTGAAGGAATAAATCAATGTTTAGGGGGTTCACACCATCTGGAAACCCAAATCTGCACCGGGTGCCGGGAGCTCCGATTCCGAAGACCCCAGTGAGCTGGGATGCAAACACCCAGCTGTTCCCTTTGGGCCAGACCCTCGGTGCCCCCCAGCCCCCCAGTGACAGACCTTCCTGCCCAGCGCCATGGTGGGGTGTAGGAATTGGGGAGTAGCCCCTTAAAAAGCCTGCGAGCCCACTGGTGGTGCTCACTGTTCCCGAGAACCCAGCCAGAGCAGCAGGGGAGGTGTACAAGCCAGGCCCGCACAGGCTGTTCCCTGCTGCATATGCTCGAGGGGGAGGGATGGAGCGAGCGTCACCTTCACAGGCCACCTTGGGGGAGGCGCTGGCTGAGCTGTGGCTGACGGGGTTTGTGGCCATGCAGGTGACGGGCGAGTCCTCATCCCCCAGTCTGTGCTGGACCAGCAGGGATACCTCAGTGGAGAGAACGGCGCCTCCTGCTGGGCGTGTCCAGGTGTATTTGAGGTGCCTGGGCCTCTCCCCGATGCTGCAGGTGAAGGTCACGTTGCAGGTGCCGTTCCCAGCCATCACAGGGTGGACCCTGATCTCCGGCTCCGACAGTCGCTCTGGGGCCCGGACGGGGGCGGGAAATACAAAATAACATTGTACAGAGGCTGCCGTGGTGAGAACCCGCTGCAGGCCATAGGTGCCTACTTCCCTTCTGCCCAGTAGATGCTCGACCCCCCCCTCCCCCCCCGGCCCTGCCCCTGCCCCTGCCCCTGCCCCGCCCTCCAGGGCCGGCTCCAGATTTTCTCCCGCCCCAAGCGGCTAAAAAAAAAAGAAGAAGAAAACGAGCGGCGGCACTTCGGCAGCAGCTCAAACAGGAAGAGAGGAAGTGAAGGACCCGCCACCGAAGTGCCGCTGCAGACCTGGACGTGCCGCCCCAATACTGGACGGAGTGCCGCCCCTTTGAATTGGCCACCCCAAGCACCTGCTTCCTACGCTGGTGCCTGGAGCCGGCCCTGCCGCCCTCACCCCACCCCCATTCCACTCCTTCCCCAAAGTCCCCGCCCCACCCCGCCTTTTCCCACCTCAGCCCCGCCCCCTTCCCACCCCCCATTCCACACACACACCCCGACACCGAATGGTCTGGTTGCATCATTAAAAGCTTCCTGTGAAGTCCGCAACTTATTTGAAGTCCACATTATGGCCTCCCACTCCCTGCGCCTGCCCCTCCCCCCATGCACACCCTCAGACACTCACCGTAGATGGACAGGGGATAGTCACAGCTGTATTGATTGTTTGCAATTAGAGTTTGCACTACTTCGTATTCGCCCTCATCTGCCATCGTCAGGTTGCTGATCTCCAGCGAATAGGTCCGGCCATAGAGTCTCAGTCGCCCTCTGTATCGCTCGTCCTCCACAGCGAGACGAGGCAGGGCTCCGGGCGCCCCCGGTGTGACGACAGCAAGAGGCACCGTTCTGCCTGAGGCTTCGTCCTGGCGAGGGCTGGGTGCGGACCACCTGATGCTCTTGAACATCTCCTCGTAATCAAGCGGGAGGACGACTGATTCTCCCAGAATCCCATTCACCCATTTGGGCAAACATTGTGAGGTAGCAGGACTTGTGTCTGACAACACAGAATAAAAGGGTCCAGGAAACAGACCAAGCCCAGCCACCCCCGCCCCTGCACTGCGACTCCCTCCAGTCACGGAATGCGAATTACAAAAGCCCTTCGCTAGCACCTCACTGGCTTGAGCCCCTGGGCCCCTTACGCCCATCCGTGAATTCTCGGGCCTGTCTTAGACGGGAGGTCAGACAAGGGTCTCTTCTGGCCTTGGAACCTCTGAATCAAGCCACATGGCATGCTGTAGATAGGAGGGAAATACAGTCCTGTCCCTTTAAAATTTCTCCTCTCCTGTGGGTGGGTGGGGAAATTTCCTTTCACACAGGAACTCAGTGTTACCCAATGGCATTCATCATGCAGGACTGCGGGAATTTTTAAAGGGCCAGTGATAAATTATATCCAAGTGGGGAAACTGAGGCACAGAGTGGTGCAGTGACCTGCACAGGGTCACTGGCAGAGTCGGGAACAGGAGGGGAGGGTTCTGGGGCCGTGAAGCCAGGCTGCGGGTTTCATCCCTTGGCCACCTGTTCCTTGCTCTCCCTGCTGCCTCTGCTGGGGCGGGGAGTGGGGGGGGGGGGGGGTGCTGAGATTACAGCAACGCTGGGGTTGTAAAGGGAGAGAACCCAGCTCTCCTGTTGGCCAGCTCTGGGCTCTCACTGCTGCGCCCTCCTGCCTCTCCCTGAGGGTCGTTGGCTTGTTTAACAATGTGGCCGTGACCCCCCAAAACCTCAGTTCTTTTCATGGAGGCAGCAGCTCCGGTGAGTACCCCAAGGTGGCTGAGGCTCACTGCCTGGCAAACCACCTTCTTGGGAACAAACACCCCACAGGGCGAAGGAGAGAACCTCCAGCGGGGACGGCACAGGGGGTGGGGGGAGCAGAGAAGACGCCAGCCAGGAACGAAGGCCGAGAGTAGGCACCGGGTCTCTCCGGCATTCCCTCTGCCTGGGCAACGTGTGGGTCAGGGATGCAGGATCAGACCCTCGTGTTGGCTGGGCTCAGACTGCACCGGATCCCTGGGGGCAGAGAGACCCCCCAGCCCGGCCCAGCTCCTGGGCCTGGCCCCTCTTTTGTTCCCATCCTCTCCCAAGATCAGGGCTGCCCAGAGGATTCAGGGGGCCTGGGGTCTTCGGCAGCGGGGGTCCTTCCGCTCCGGGTCTCCGGGGCACTTCGGCGGTGGGTCCCGGAGCGAGTGAAGGACCCGCCGCCAAACTGCCGCCGAAGACCCGGAAGGAATCCTCGCCGCCGAATTGCCTCCAAAGACCCGGAGCGGAAGAAGCTCCGGGTCTTCGCTCCGGGTGTGTTCGGCGGCACTGAAGGCCCTGCCGCCGAAGACCCACTGAAAACTCTTGTGGGGGCCCCTGCAGGGCCCAGGGCCTGCTGGGGCAAATTGCCCCACTTGCCCCCCCCTCTTGGCGGCCCTGCCCAAGATTCACCCTTTCATTTCTAGCCCCCCGCTGGGGTGGATACAGCCCCGCATAACTTACCCCTGGGCTGGGAAACCAGCAGGAGGAAAAGAAGGAAGGAACGGGGAGTTCCTGCCATCCTGGCGGGCTGCAGAACAGGAGCAGTCAGTGCCCGTGGAGTGATGGGTCAGAGACTGGGACGGTCGGGGCGGCCGGGTCTGGGTGCCGGGGAGATTCTGGGATCACCTCACTGAGCAGCGAGGGCTCTGCGAGGCTAAACACAACGTCAGCAGCTTGAAGCTTCCTTTTCACCAGCCGATCAACCTTGCGACAGGCACAGGATGAGATAACCCCCTCCCCCCCCTCCGATCTCCCCTGCCCTTCTCCCTCCCAGTCGCTCGCACACAGGCTCAGCCCGACTCTGACACCCCCAAGCCATGGGGCGCCCTTGGAGAGATGCAGCCTAAGTCGTCCTTTCCTAGCCCCTTCCCAGCTACACCTTGCTGGGATGATTGATCGTGTGCATTGCAACAGTGCCCGGGAGCCCGAATCACTGAGCAGGGCCCCGCTGTGCTAGGGGCTGTACAGACACATGACCCTGTCCAACATTCCTCTCCCCGGTTGGTGTTTACACTCCAGATAGGCCGGCAGTTCTTGTGCCCCCTCTTGCATGACAGCCTGAGGCTGCTGGGGTGGGGGGTGAGACCTGGGGACTCCTCACACCAGGAGACCAACCCCCATGTGTGAAAGCAACTCCCAACCTCACTCAGTGACATGGATGGCACAGGGCAGGGGTCATGCTGCCAGCCAGGGACCTGATCCCACCCAGGGGAGGGGTTTAGCCGCCCCCAACTCTCCCCGCAGGGCAGATCCAGATTCTGCAGAAGCTACATTTCCACTCATCCTGTTTAAGGCTGTGAGGCGGGTTGAGTTCTTTCTCGCCTGGAACTGACCCTTCTGTAATTGCATTGGCTACTCTGCAGGGTTTGCCTGGCTCTCTTTGCTATAGTTCTCCACCCTTCCCACTACTCTTCACAGAGCAAGCGCCAGTTAGTCAATCTCACCTGGGTGGGAGGTGGGGTCCAGGATTAAGGGACAGTCCCAGGAAGGGGCCTGGTCTATACCCCTTTTTTGTCCTGGTGTAAAGATGTCGGCTAGAGGGGTGATTTTTTCAAACAGATCTAGTTACACCGGTACAACCCCTAGTGTGGACACAGTTTGACTGGGATAAAAGGGCCTTATCCCCACATGGCTCATTCCCCTTCCCATATGGGAATAGCTATAGCGGGATAAACACCGTCATACCCATATGCCTCCACTCTAGGGGATTTGCACAGCTTTGCCTTCCCCGGGAGAGTGACAGCAGCCAGGTCTGGCTCACAGCCGCGCTCACGCTGGGCAGCGTACGTTCTGGCACTGATAAGGCATCTCAGCCCAGGAACTGACACAGCAAGATACAGGAAAGGAGATAAGCGACTCTAGCTAGACAGCACCCGATGCTGTATCCCCCTGCAGCCCGCGGTGTAGCAGTGGCAAAAGGAATTGATTCCCTGCAGATTCTCCAGCAATTGACACACACCGGCCAGTGTCCTCACCGACTGGGGCCTTTCCAATTGCTCCATCCACAGACTCAGTTTGGTGGGTGGCTCCGGCTCTTAATTCCAGTCTTGGCGTTCTCCCCAGCGCTGCAGTTTCATGTGGTGTTCGGGTCACAGCGTGACTAGATAATCTCTGATAGCTGCTTAGGGTGTGGGGGATGCAACATACAGAAACAGAGACACGGATGTAAAAGGAAATTACCACAGATTCTCACATCCTGACACTGCCCGGGTGTCTGAGATGGGATACTGATCTAGACACAAAACTTTGTTCAGGACGACTCGCAGCTCACCCGCTGTGAAACCCCGTAGTGAGCGAAAAACCCCAAGGAGCCATTATAGAGACAGAGACAATTTAAAGTTCTGGTGAAACTTACAAAAAACTCCAAAGCTTGAAAGTCTGGAAATTCCCAATTAAGCCCTCAATTCCCTTAACTCTGCCCTTCTCACCCTTCCATCTTCCCTTCCTTGCAGGTAGGGTATCAGAAATGTGCTCCAGAGCCCATATAGTTGTTCACACAGCTATGAGTTGCTCTGCCCCCGCACTGACCACTGCTCTTTCCATAGAATCGTGTGATGACTTGATCTGGGCCTGATAAGTTTGTCCAAGGAGATTTTCATAGATGCAGATTGTAAGGCCAGAAGGGACCGTTAGATCATCTAATGTGACCTCCTGTATAACACAGGCCATAAAAGTGATGTGCCAGCTCTGGATGTAATGGTCCTCGGAGAACTAGCTGGCACATGGGACTATGAGGCCAGTCCTGCCAAATGCAGAGAATTGTGAATGACATCAGCCCAATTAAGGAAAACTGAGCTAAACCCAAATTCTCTTAGGGCTAGTCTACACTACAGAGGTTTTGCTGCTATAGCTGTACGGGGGAAGTCCCCAAGTGGAGACGTAGCTTCTACCAGCTAAAGGAGTTCTTTTGGCAATACAGTTACATGACATACACGATATCAGCGTGGGTATAAGCTGTGTCTACACTGGCAGAGCATTTCAGTGTGATTTTTTTTCATTTTTCTAGCCACCCTAGTTATGTCGGCAAAATTTTGTAGCATAGACCTGGCCTTAACCCTGCCATAAGAGATAGAGCAGGGGTCTCAAACTCAATTTACCTCAGGGCCAGTGCCAGTCCTCAAATCCTCCCAGCGGGCCAATAACATCACTGTTCAGAAAAGAAAACGTTTATATTGTATTTTTTATTTCAAATTTCTTAGAAATAATAAAACTGTCATACAACTTTATACAATTCTTCACCTGCCAGAGAGTTTTTAGTGTTTGCCAGACACCTGTTAGTTGATGTTTGGCCTCAGTGACTGAGCAGTTGAAACCTTCAGGATTGCAGCAAGGTCTGCATCAGATAGTTGTGTTCGGTATTTTGACTTGTTTATATTCATTGTGGAAAAAAAGTGACGCTGCCTCCATGGCTGACTCTGCCCGGCAACTAATGATGCTGCCTCCATGGCTGACTCTGCCCAGCGACTAGTGATGGTATCTCTGTCCCTCTCCCCCAGCCAATGGGAGCTGCAGGGGGCGGTGACTGCAGCAGACATTGCCAGCAGCGTGTCTGCCTGCGTCTCTCCTCCGCGGGCCACAGTGGGGAGGTTCTCGAGCTGCAGATGGTCCACGGGCCGGGACTTTGAGACCCCTGAGATAGAGCCACACCACCCTATCAAAAGCCTTTTCAGTATCTGAGTTTGTTGACAGGCAACTTGACAGCTCATTAGTCCAACAGGATGGCTTGCTGGAGTAAAAGTATGTACACGTGTCCCTATCTTCAGGATCAGGGCCATAGAATGGTTTTAGACTAGTGTAACTCTATAGGCTTCCCCAGAATCATTCCTGATTTACGCCAGTCTGAGAGAGAGGAGGCATAAATAGCCCCCTGTAAGGTGCGTGAGTCATTTACGTTTTTCCCGCCAATGTGCCTTACTTTGCATGTGTTGACGCTGAATTTCCTTTGCCCTCGCGTTGCCTGTTCAGACCTGCTGGACCGTGTGCCGCAGGCCCCGCACGACTAGTGGGGATTCTATAACTGCAGTGAGGGGGCGGGGCTGTGCTTTGGAGCTGGAAGATCTGGGCTCTAGCCCTGCTGTCTGTGCGTGGGGAGAGCCAGGAAGGCCTGGATGGCTCCAGGTTTGGTACTGTGCTATTATCCCTCAGCATCTGCAGTGGACCTACCAGGAGAGAGCCCATGAATCCCATCACATAGAACCCGGGCACTTTCCAGAGAGCTCAGCACCTGGTCCCCCTGCCCGGGAGAGATGGGGACGTGCAGGAGAGAAGCTGTTTCCAGCATGCTGGCTAGAGAGGGTTTAAAGAGAACAGGAGGAAAGGGGCAGGGGTCTCCCACTTCCTGAGGCACAGCAGAGAGACGGGGTGTTTAAGACACAGGGCCTGATGCTGACTGCAGATTAGGGTACAAAAACCCAGGACATCTGGGACGATGCTGAGCCCACAAAACTGGCCAGCTGCCATGTACACTGAGCACCTGGGCAGATACATCAGAAAAGGGATGATCCTGGGAGAGCCTGGACAGGTGGCAGCCCTATCGCAGGCACTGGTGTCAATCCAGAGCCGCCCTCTGGGTTCACTGGAGTGACTCCAGATTGAAACCAGTGTTCCTGCGAGCAGCAGCTCAGCTATTGCCCTTCACGGGTGATGTTCAATCCTCCTGACCCACAGCTCTCCCAGACCCTGGGCTGGCCCCCAGCTCTGCTGACCTCTCGCCATCTGTTGGCTTAAAGTAATAATTAATACATTGACGTTCTGGGGAAATGGGAGAAAGAATGGCCCAGAACAGACCCCTGATTTTGGCCTGACCATCAGAAAGAAATGCGCCCCTCAGCCTGCTGAGTTTGTGCTACCTGAAATATGCCCGTCAGCGTACAAGGTCTGCGTTAATTGTAGAACCACATCCCGAGACAAAAAGTCTGTTCTAAAGTGACAAGATTACGGTAACAGGGCGGGACTCACCCCCGCAGCGCCTCCTGCTGGTTCCTAGGAATTAGCTCTGTTTCCAGCTCCGGAGCACCCTCTGCAGGCCAATGTCCCGCTTGCCGCTGGCCCCCCGTGTCCTTCCCAGACCCCAGTGCCCTTTTCCCTGGGGTGCTGCCCCTCCGGGCAATACGCCACAGATCTGGGTCTCCCCTCCCCAGGGAACCCTATGGGTTACTGCCAGTCACCATCTAGCCCCCTTTCACTGGGGCCGACTGCAGTCTGTATAAGCCAGTCATCATAGGCAAGGCAGGTTTTGACCTGCTGCCGTTCCCTGCAACCCAGTACCTCCAGGGGCCTTGTACAAAGCCCTGTAGCCTGGGGAGTTGCTGGCCTGGAGCTCCCCAGTTCCTCTGGCCTTTCCCCAGCCGTGCTCCACTCCAGTACCCTTTAGCACTCAGGCAGCTAGGTCCATCTCCCTCCTCAGCTAGAGGGGGACTGCCTGCTCTTGGCCCACTGCCCTCTTATAAGGGCCAGCTGGGCCCTTATTAAGCCAGCTACAGCTGTGGCTGCTTTCCCAATCAGCCCAGCTTCCATGCTGCAGCCCTCTCCAGGGCTGCTTGTACCCTTCCAGGGCCGGAGCGGGGTGATCACCCCGCTACA